TGGCTGCAGAGACTGGAAGCCACCCTGGGGAGAGGGGGCAGGGCTGAGCCAGCAGGCCTGGCAGGAGACCAGGAATTCTTTTTACAGAGGTGGTTAGCAGGATCAATGTACGATGTACGGGCAGAGTTGGAAGAACAGATACCTCAGCCCCTCACCTCACTTTTACCAGGTCTTGGGAAATGGGTCGGTGGGTGGTGGGGAGAGGAGTGTGTTGTACTTAGCAAGCCACTTAAGGAAGGAAATTCATTAATGAATTGTTAAGGGGAAGGGAACTGGAAACCTCTCTGTCCTGGCAGGGAGAAGAAGGAGGGAGCATTGAAAGGTAGGGGGACAAGTAGAAAAGGGTCATGTGAACATATAGGTGGGTCTGGGTCCCTATCCCTGAGAGAAATCCCTCAGCTTGGCCAGAAGCCAACCCTGCAGGGGTACCAATGAAGGAGAGGAGACGAGAGGAGAGAGGCTTGGGGTTGGCTCCAGGGTCAGAAAGCAAACCTTCAAGTTTCACACAGACCCTACCTCAACCTCAGGTGTCTGGACCCATCACCTCTCTTCACTTCACAGGATGCCCCAGTTGCCATGGTAACCACTTCTTTCCTGGTGTCTCCTTGGCAACTGGCCAAGAGTAGTGAGTCTTCCTTCTACCTCCTGGCTCCACCCTTAGCCCAGCCTTGCCCTAGGACCTAGATTGTTGGGGCAGCAGGGACCAGAGGAACCTTTCCGCGTGAGACTGCAAGCACTCAGGGAGGAGTCAAAGACAGGTGCTGACCTCAGTGGGTTCCCATTTGGCAACGCAAGAGGCAAAAACAAAACAATGCAACTGTCCCACCTCTTCTGCAGCCTTCTGCAGTCTGGGAGGGTCTTACACTCATTCATTTATTCACGACTTCCAGAAAACGTCTTTGAGAGTCTTTCTTAAATGCCAGGACTAATGTAGAGATGAGTCAAAGTTACTCACCATCTGGCGGTGGGTGCGAAGGCAGGAACTCTAAAGCAGTATTTCCTCATCTTGATGCTTTTGAGTATCTCCTTCAGGACTTTTGCTCTTTCCAAACATTCCCCGCAATGCTATTCATTTAATATTTTCCCATCAAAGGATTAACTTTAAAAAATGTCATTAGCTTTATTTTAAATGTCACTAACACAAATGAAAAAGCATTATTATTATTATTATTTTGGCCTTGATTTAAAGGCAAGCATAAAAGCAATCTTGAGCAAATAACAATGACATCACCATTCTGGGCCTTGGCTTGCTTCCTTAGTGAAATGGTGATGCCAGCAGTACCCACAACATAGATTAACTGTGTCTATGTCTGCATAGAAGGAGCTCTGGTAGCGTAGTGGTTACGAATCGGGCTGCGAACCACAAGGTCAGCAGTTCGAAACTACCAGCTGTTCCACGGGAAAAAGATGAGGCTTTCTGTTCCCATAAAGATTTATGGTCTTGGAAACCCTGCACAGGGTCACTATGAGTCGGAACTGACTCCACGGCACATAACAACAACAACAACAACATGTCTGCATAGACATATATCTCCTATTGCTCCTATAGGAGATCCTGGCATGGAATCGGTGCTATCAAATGTTGGCTTGATACATGAAAGAAATGAAGAAAATGAAGTGATGTCACAAAATTCTACCTAGATACCAGAGGGCTTCAAAAAGTTCATGGGAAATGGAATGAAAAGAGAAGGGAATTTTCCCATGAACTTTTTGGAGCTCTGAAGGCTCTGAGCTTAAGACCTGTTTTCTCTTGGACTCAGCAGGAGATGAACTGGTTTAGAAGGTGTTAAAGACACAGCACTAACTTAAGACCACCTCTCTGAAGGCTGGGCAAAGAGTTGAAAAGGGCAGAACACATTCTGTGAGTCATTGTTGTTCAGGGTCTTGCCTAGCTGCCACCTGTTATCTGTTTAGGCTAAACCATGCTGCAGTAACAACTAGTACCAAAGATCTCAACCAAAGTCTGTTTCTCACTCATACTATAGATCCACAGGGTTTCTACTCGCCAATGAAAACTAAAACAATCGTCTTCTTGAACATTCTGGTTACCGTGCCAGAGACAAAAGAGCTTTAGTAGGTTTTACATGGGCATTTGAATGCTCCAGTCTGGAAATGACTCACATTCCATTGGCCAGAATTAATCACATGCCCCCATCTAAGCTCAAAGTGTGTGTGTGTGTTGGGGTGGTGCTATCCTTCCTTGAGCCTGGAAGGGGAAAGAGGGTATGGTTCTGTAGGATAAGCATTGGACTGCAAATTTGGTTTGAACCACAAGGTTGGCTGTTCAAACTCACCAGCTGCTCCTTAGGAACCTTATGCAGGGTCGCTATGAGTTGGAACTGCCTCGACAGCACTTAATAACAACAACAACAACCCAATGACTCTCCTAGTGGCCCATACCCCATACTTTGTAGAATTCTGCTCTAGACAACACTAAGAGCTATCCAAGAAGGCAGAGAGCATTTGGGATGGGCTTTGCATTTTATGGAAATGTTAACATTTCTAAAACTGGAGTGAGTCTTCTAATGAATGGGCATGTTTCATATAGTAAAGTTACATACATCTTTATGCACCCTGAGAAAGACATCATGAAATCAGTTTTGAATCTACAAATCAGTAGTGTTTGAGAAGTAAGTAATATATGTAGCAAATCCAGGAAAGCCAGAGCTCAACAAGACTGCTTTCCTTTTCTGGGCGTCCAAGTTTTCCATCTTTAAAGGGGTGCAGTCTTACTACCTTTCTATATTTGAGTTTTCTGTCTCTGACACGTTTACACAGTACACAGCTTCCAGCTTTTGTCGGTTTGATTCGAGGATATTAGTCAGTGGGACTCCTTTGTACTGAATTCAGCTGCAGGGACGAGTGTGAGAGAGAGCTATAGCTGCAGTGCCTGCCCTTAGGAGCATTCAGATGACTGAGAAGTTTTAGGAAGTGTTCCGGAAAGTTCAGTGACACCATTCAGCAGTCCATTAGTGGGAAATGGGATCTTTGCATTGTCCCTGGCATCATATGCAAGCCAGAATGTGTTTTTAAGGGAATAGGCCCAAAGCTTGCATCAGACCTCTACAGGGGCTGCCTTGTAGAGTTGGGGAACATACTGATCCAAGTGGAGCTTAGAAGACAGCCTTTCCCTGACTCTTCATGGCATTTATATGAGGAGGCCTCAGAAATTTCATGGGAAAATCCCATTTTTAAAAAACTTCATTTTTCCATGAACTTTTTTAACTCCCCTTGCCCCCCGCTCCAATCCTACCCCCTGTATCATCCAGAGCAAGGGGCCTCTTTGTCTGATTATTGGACCAGTAGGAAGCCCAATGTTGAAATATGTCTTCCCTCTTTCTCTGCCTTCCTTCCCACAGCTTCCCAGGAACCTGACCCATTCTACTATGGTGAGTGTTGGTCTCTGTGATGAGGGTCCTCTGCATGCTCTCTGGGGCTAGATGGATAGGTGTCCATAGATCCCCATGGGTCACTGCTGGTGTGATTTTGGCTTGTTGGCTCACAGGTAATGTGACCACATGGATGTAGTTCACAATGACTGGGCTTAGGGAAGGTAGGACCAGATGGGGGCTGGGGAATTCCATCGCTCCTCTGGGCCCCCTTTAGGTCTCTGTCTGGGCTGATGCACTGTGCTCCGCAAAGAAGCAGAAGAGGGAAAGACTTTAAAACATTGACTCAGGCCATGCTGCTGGGATTTGAATCCTGGCATATCCACTCACTGGCTGTGTGGCCTTGGAGCAAGCAACTTCATCCCTCTGAACCCTTCTGTAAACAAGGGATCCTTATGTAAACAAATTTCCCTACTAGACTGCTAACCACAAGGTCGGTGGTTCAAATCTACCAGCCATTCCTTGGAAACCCTATAAAGGGTCACTATGAATCAGAACCGACTGGGCTGCACTTAACAACAACAAAGGTTGTGTCCCTGTGTGGCACAAATGGGTTGTATTTGACTTAGATGGGGTCGCCATGTATCAAAATGGACTGGACAGCAACTCACAACAACAACTGACCCAAAGGTTGGTGGTTTGAACCCACACAGCGGTGTCACAGATGAAAGGCATTGTGATCTGTTTCTGTCAAGATTGTTGTTGTTAAGTGCCGTGGAGTCAGTTCTGACCCATAGAGACCCTGTACAGGGTTTTCGAGGCTGTAAATCTTTACGGGAGCAGAAAGCCTCATTTTTCTCCCACGGAGTGGCTGGTAGTTTCAAACTGATGACCTTAAGGTTCGCAGCCCTATTCGTAACCACTACGCTACCAGAACTCTGTCAAGATTACAGCCAAGGAAATCCTATGGAGCAGTTCTGCTTCGTAACACATGGGTTGTCGTGAGTCAGAATCGACACGACAGCAATGGGTTGATTTTTTAAATGAGAATTTACCTGGATACCAAATGCACTGCCGGGTCGATTCTGACTCATTCACAACACTCCCTAGAATTTCCGAGGCTAGAAATCTTTCCCAAAGTGGATTGCCTCATCCTTTTGTGGGCTCAAATTGTCGACCTTTTAGTTAGCAGCCCAACACTTAACTCACAGCACCACCAGGCCTCTCCCCATTACCTGGATGATGCCATTACCTTGTACACAAACCCTAACACACCCCTGTCCTCCTCCTTTGCTCATTCATACTGTTTCTCCAGTATTCCAAGTTCCTTCTCACCTCCAGGTGTTCCCTCTGCCAAGGAACTCTTCTCTTAGCTCCCCACACAGCAGAATAAGGTTCTGTCTTCTTCAGACCTCAGGACAAATGCTGGCTGCGCTTCTCAGAGACGCCCTCCCTGGTTCCCCTGGCAAGAGCCACACCCATGCCAGCCATGGTTACATGACTCTGGGCTTTTTTGGTTTGGGTTTTGAGTGCTTTATAGCCATATGAAACTCAGCTATTTTAGGGCAAAGGCCTGGACCACTGCTGTCACAGAGGGGGTGCTTCCTACACAAGTATCCCAGCAGATGTTTACTAAGCATCTATCAGGCACTGGGGACCTGGCAGAGAGCAAGACAGACAATAATCCCTGCCTTCCTTGACCTTACACTCAATGAGAGAGAGAGAGAGAGAGAGAGAGAGAGAGATACTCAAGTAAACAAATGTGAACACGTGTGGAAGATTATATAAAACACTATTAGGAAGGAAAATAGAATGAAATTAGGAAGACGTGAGAAGAGACTATGAAAACCAGGAAAGGCTTTCCTGATATTGAAATAAAACCCAGAAGTTGGTGAGGGAGGGAGCCCTTTCAGGGAGAAGGAACAGCAAGTACAAAGACCCTGAGGTAGGACCATGCCTGATGTGCTCTAGGAGTAGCCAGAAAGTCGTTGTGGCTGGAGTAGGGGAGTCAGAGTAAATGTGAAGTGGGATGAGGTCCCCCAAGAAATAGGAACTAGATAATAAACGGCCTTGCAGACCATAGGGAGGACTTCAGTCCTTTTACCTTGAGTGTGATGGGAACCAGGAGAAAGCTGTGAGTTGAGGAGGACTGATCTGACTCAGATGTTCACAGGGTCTTTGTGGCTGCTTGAGGGGGTGCATGTGTACTATGGGGGCAAGATGGGACAGCTAGACCATAACGAAGTCTGGTGCCATAGTCCCGATTGATAGGCAACAATGGTGGACAGGACCAGGATCAGGGTGGGGGCAGCCGAGGGGAAGATAATACACAAATAAATAAATAAGCAAATGGCTAGTTAGAGTAGAAGGACCAGAGGTAGAGGGCGGGAGGGAAATGTACAGAGATCTTCGGGAAGCAGACAATGCTCAAACCCATGTTCTCAGTGAACATAATGGAGGAACCTCCAGCCTGGCCTGCAGTGCCCCTGAACTCTGGGCACCTTGAGGTCAGGAGTGAGGTGGGGCTGAGCTACCAACCCCTGCTTTGATGCCATCCATTATCTCCCCCAGACTACGACACTATTCAGACTATTGGCATGACCCTGGCTACCATATTGTTCTTGCTTGGCATCATCGTCATCATCAGTAAGTGTGACCCCCTCCCTGAACTGCCTCCAAGGCCACCCTCCACTTTGTCCCTGTGGGCTTTTGTCTAGATCCTTCCTTATATGTGGTCTCCTTGTTCTGTCTCTCTCTCTCTCCTAACAGGCAAGAAAGTGAAGTGCAGGAAGGCGGACTCCAGGTCTGAGAGGTCTGGCAACAATGGGGGTGGGGTGGGGAGAGGTGATGGGTGCACCCTTAGGTGATCCCTATCAGAAGTCCCCCTGGGCCTATCATGTGTTTCTCATAAAGCCCATAACTGCTGAACCGCCTCATGCTTTTCTCTCTCTCATTTCTTTTCCTTCCACAGCCCAACTTGCAAATCCTGTAAGTCAGAGCTTCCCTCCTCAGGTTAGTGTGAAAGTGTGTGTGGCTGTGAGAAGAGGCTAGGAGGGAGCAGAAATGGGGGTCATTAGAATGAATGTTGCATTTGCTGTACCTGAGAGCAGGATCACACTCATGGCAACATTCAGTAGGGGACTGAAACCCAGGAGATCCAAGATACTCAGCCACAGAGAGTCAGTAGAATGTGACTTGTCCTAAAGAACCCAGTATGCTTTCCAGAAATAGTTTCACGAGCCTATAAAAGCAAGGATGAACTAATTCCCCAGAGGAGAAGTCCCCCACTGGGGAAACAAACTTCTGCTTGTCAGAATGCCAAAAGAGTTGAGCATTCTAGAGGACAGGAAGATAGAATGTTTCCTATCTTTCTTAAGATTAAAAATATTAACATCCATGTTAACGATGTCAACCAACCCAATGAAGAAGGCGCAGGTTGTGGATGATAGGGAAGTGTGTTTTGTGAATGACAGGGAGGTATGTTTTTGGTCCTGAAACCTGGGATACAGTTTTAATATATATCAAATGACCAAGAAAAAGAAAAGGAGAAAGGAAGAACAAGAGAAAGGCAGACACATAGATGAGATCCTGACTAATTGTGTCAAAAAAAAGTCCCAGAAAGATGGAAGTATAGAACACAGATTTTAACTGTTGTGTGAAAATAGAGAACACGAGGCTGTGGGGAACATAAAGATGGAGTGTGTGAGAGAGAGATGGAAGGGATAAAGAGTCAAGAAGGAGGAAGAATGTAAAAGCACTGGAGATGTAGGCAGAGGTGAAAGGCGGGTTGGGCTTATAGGAGGTGTAGGGTACCAGAGATGGGAGTATTTATTGGAAGAGGATGTGGATGGAGGATGGAGATGGAGTGTAAGAGAAGGGGAATGATGTAGAATGGAATAAAGGGTGAAGAGGGAAATGGACGTCGGGGGTGGTGGTGAGGGTATAAGTTGTTGTTGTTGTTAAGTGCCATCAAGTCCATTCCGACCCATAGCGACCCTGTATAGGGTTTCCAAGGAGCAGCTGGTGAGCTTGAACCACCGACCTTACAGTTCAAACGACTTTGCAGTCTGATGCATTAGCTCACAGTGCCACACCAGGAGGGTATAAGAGCGGGCTAGAAATGTAGGTAAGGGTTAAGGTGTATAAGCCAAAAAAACCAAACAAACCCATGGCCATCCAGTAAATTCTGATTCATAGTAACCGTATTTGTTGTTGTTATTAACAACCTTAGGGTTTCAGAGACTGTAAATCTTTATGGGAACAGATAGCCTCATCTTTCTCCTGGTAGGTGGGATTGAACTGCCAACCTTATGGTTAGCAGCCCAACTCTTAACCCACAGCACTACCAGTGGGTAAGATGTATAAAGGTTATGGGAGTGAGGAGGAAGTTGAAGGGGAAAGAAGGAAAGAGAGATGGAGGAATACGGGGAGCAGGTAGATATGAGAAGTGTAGGAAGGAGTGGCTTGTTGGAGGGAGTGGAGGGTATAGGAGAAGGATGTTGTTGTTGTTGTTAAGTGCCGTTGAGTCAGTTTCAACCCTGAACAGGGTTTCCTAGGCTGTAAATCTTTACGGGAGCAGAAAGCCTCATCTTTCTCCCACGGAACAGCTGGTAGTTTCGAACTGCTGACCTTGAGGTTTGCAGCCCGAGTCGTAACCACTACGCTATCAGAGCTCCTATCAGAGAAGAATGGTGGATGCAAAATAGAAAGTATCAAGGATAATGGCAGGAGATAGAGAATGTTGGTGGGGATAAATGTGTAGATGAAAGATTGTAATTCCTTGAGGGAGCTCATTTTAATTATGTAAAACTAGCTTGACCTGTTTTTAATGGGATTGTGTCCTTCTGAGGGACTTTAAAAATAAATCCGAGCTGGGGAATCTCTGTGCTTCTTATAAAGTTCTTATAAATTAAAAAAAAAATGGGTCTTGAGGTACTCAATATTTTGGGGAATCTGATGTGGAATTTCATACGTTTTGTTTCACACTCATTTAAGCAGATTAAAAATATTAACATCCATGTTAACGATGTCAACCAACCCAAGGAAGAAGGTGCAGGTTGTGGATGATAGGGGAGTGTGTTTTGTGAATGACAGGGAGGTATGTTTTTGGCCCTGAAAACTGGGATACGGTTTTAAAATATATCAACTTGCCCTCTTTGAATCCTTGGGCAGGAAATGGGGGAGTTCCTTTTGTATCCAAATTTTCAGGATACTGGGTGTAGGAGAGAGGTGTGTGTGGGGTTGTAGGAGAGGGATTGAAGTGTAGGGGAGATGGAGGGTGTAGGAGGGAGGTAGACAACATAGGAGATAGGTAGGGTTTCGGAGATTTCCTTTCTGGCGGGAAATTGACCCCAGACAAGTCTAGGTTGGTCTGTGGTCTAGTTTCATCAGAGAAGTGTCCCTCCCTACAGACAGTGTTCCTGTGGGGTCAGATGTAAGCCAAACAGTTGTCCCCATATGTACCAAGCATTAGAGTGTGGTGAGGCGGGTCAGTTCCCGAGGGTGCCAGACCAGGGGTGACAGTTCCTCGGAAGGGTCCATCGGCTTGGGGAGGAGGACCTCTCCCACCCCTCTCTAGTCCCTGATGCTAGTTCTGTCTCTTTCTCGCTCCAGCCCCTGGTGGTGGCGGCGTGTAAGAGCAACCCCAGGAACCTCCGCTGCTGCTCTGCCGGAGTGCGGAAGCCTACGGACCGGGTAGAGGCGGTGGGGACCCCAGGTTCGCGCCGGGGAGCGCTCCCCGGAATGAGCCGCCACACCCACCTCAAGGCTGGAGCCGCTGCACCCCGCTGTCCTTCCTTCCCCAGGCCTTGGCAATGATGACCCCTCAAAGAGCCTGTCTGCATCCCAGATTCGGGGACTCAGGCGTCCAGCTCTGGGGATTCGGGAGTCCACCCATCGCTCTCCAGAATCCCTATGTAACACTTCGCATCACTTCCTTGTCTCCTGCCCGAGGATTCGTTCCCCAGCTCCCTCGGGATCTCTGTCTTGAGCTTAATAAATGTGCATTTGGGTTTCCCTCTGTTACGTGTGTGTTTTCATCTTTAAAGAAATAACAGGATGGGGATTGGGGGTGGGGGATAGGACGGGCAAACGGAACCAGGGATAACCCTTCCCTGAGGCCTCAGAATTGCTCTTCCCTCCTCCGCCTCCTCCCTCAGTGTCGCAAGGTGTCGCCTTCCTGCCCATCCCCAGAAGCTCTCCCCTCTCAGTACCCTCAGAGTCGCCCCCTTTCCCCTGCGACCCTAGACTAGCCCCCTCTCCCAGGACATCTTCCCACCTTGTCCCTCCTTCTTTTCCCTAGGGTTGCCCCCTTCCCTTTCCCATTCTCCTCTTCCCAGTGGGGCCCAACCATCCAGGATCTGCTTGTCCCGGCTTTCCATCCCCAGACCCAGACCCGGGGGGTGGAGGCCACTCCCCACCCTCCACCCCCCATCGTCTTCAACGCCTCTCTCCTGCTCCCACCCCGGGCTGTGAAACCAGGAAACCCAAGAGGAAATGACTACGCCCGTCTCGGTCCCCGCCCGCCCTCACTCCCCTGGCCACACCCTCCGCCTGGGCGCTGCAACTGCTGCGGTCCTCTCCCCTCGACCTTGCTCTGCCGGCTCTGGACCCCCAGCCCGGTCGTGAGTCCCTCTTCCATTCCGTCTCCATCCGCTGCCCCTCTGCCTTGCCGTGTCTCAGACGGCTACCAGGCTGAACTCGTCTGCGCCTCTTCAACCCCTGTTCCGTTCCACGTTTCTTTGACTACTCTCCTGTTACTACCTTGGGCTGCCCAGCTCGATGTTGCTTTTCCTTTTATGCCTCAGTCTCCCCACTTCTCCTCCATCTCTCTCAGATTACCCAGCATCCTGTTCTATTGTTTCCCGCCGAACAGCCCTGGACACCAACTCACTTTTTCCTTTGAAATCAGGAGCATATTACTCACTCTTCCTCTTCTCCCCTCCCTGCTGACTCCTCCGCTCTGGGGACAGGCCCTGAGGGAACGAAGAGGCCCCCTGATGTCTCCCTTTCTGCTCCAGACCCCTCTTCTGATCCCTGCACTGTCTGGGCGAAGGGTCAGGGCCCGGATCTGGGAGTTGAGAAAGGTGCGTCTCTGCTTCAGAGCTTTGGAGGCGGTCGGTTTAGTCTGATCCTTCTTTTCTTTAGGGACCTGAGGGGTGGTAACCTGGAACCTGGACCCCTGTACCTCACAGCCCTCCTTCTAGTTGGCTGTTGGTACTGGCATGGGAATCTTAAAGCCAGGGGTAGGTGCTTGACCAGGGTCGGGGTGGGGGGATGAGCATGCCCCCCATCTCCCCACTTCCTCCACTCAGAGTGGTGGTTTTTTGACCTGTCTCACTGACATCATGGCTGACCCCAACTCTGGCTTACCCCATAGATGTTCCCCTCTGGGTGCCTGTGTCTTCTCAGCATCATTAGCCTGGTTCTCCCCACCAGAGGTAAGACTTTGTTCCATCCTGATCCCAGAACCCTCAACCCCACCTTAAGTGTGCAGCTGGTTGGGCAGCTGGTGTGCGTGGTCTCTCTATCCCATTCCACATCCCTCCTGCTGATCTGGCAGCAGGAACTGGAGGTCTGTATGTTGAGGGTGGGGTTACATCTCCTTGAACACTGGAGACCTGGGGTGGCTGCTTCCAATGGGTCTGGCCAGACCCTGTCCTGCTGAGCATCCTCCGTTTCGCCTCCAAGAGAACTTGCTGAGTTTGGTTTGGCGGAGAGATGGGTATCAGTTTTCTACTAAGCAGCCAGGAAACAAACCTGGGCTCTCAGTAAAGCAACTTCTTGAGTCCCTGAGTTAGGATGAGATGAGGTTGGTGCAAAGAGTAAGAAGTCTCAGCCTGTTTCCCAAAGATAGTAACTGAGGTGACCATTGTGGAACACTTTGTAGATCACAGAGGCTATATGTGCTCATCTTGTTTTGATGTCAATTCTACTTTATTATACTTACTGGCATGCCTAGTTCATGGATAAGGACACTGAGGCTTAGTGAGGGAAAACAGCCTGTGCTAGTGGATAGAAAAGGAGCTCTGGTAGCATAGTGCTTATGAATCGGGCTGCAAACCTCAGGGTCAACAGTTTGAAACTACCAGCTGTTCCGCGCAAGAAAGATGAGGCTTTCTGCTCCCGTAAAGATACAGCCTCGGAAACCCTGTACAGGGTCGCCATGAGTTGGAACCGACTCCACAGCACATAACAACAACAACAAAGTGGGTAGAAGAGTTGGGATTACAATAGCCCTGCCTGTCCCCAGAGCCCAGACTATACACGTACTGAAGCTGCTCCTATTTTTCTTTGTTAAAATGGTTTGCATGTATATTTCCAGCCATTCATCAAATATTTGCTGAGTATTTACTATGTGCCAAACCCTGTTCTAGGCACTGCGGGAAATAGTGAACAAAATAAGAGCTTATGTTTTAGTGAGGACTGACAGTAAACAATGAATTAGTAAATTATATAGTATGCTTTGCTGTTGTGGTTGTTGGATAGGGTTTCCTAGGAGCGGCTGGTGAGTTTGAATCACTGACCTTGCAGTTCAAACTGATCTTGTGGCCCAGTGCTTTATCCCACAGCACCCCACCAGGATTCCGTATAGGATGCTAGAACAGTAATAAATCTATGGAGAAGGGTCATATGGGTTGTTTAAATATGGTGGTCAGGTAAGGACTTGCTGAGGAGGTGATAGGCGAACAGGTGGAGATGAGAAAATGAACCATGCAGCAATTTGGGGGTGTAGAGTTTGAGGAACAGCAGGCAGGCCTGGTGACTGACTGGGTTGGGGTGTATAAGGGGGTGGTTGAGATGGGAAGAGAAGAGGACAGAGAGGTGACCAGGGACCAGAGAGAGAGACAATGTGTTGGGACCATGTTGAAGACTTGGCTTTTCCTGGAGTCAGGTGGAGTCAGGTGAGAGCTAAACCAGGAGAGCCCTGATCTGATTTGGGGAGTTCACAGCCTCCCTTTGACTGTATGAGAGCTAACAGCCTATGAGGAACAGGGTCAGAGCTAGGGAGATCAGGATGGTTCAAGAGGGAGAGGCTGGAGGCTGGAGCAGGGTAGGGCAGTAGTTGTATTTGGCACTGACTACATGATAAACATGGAGTCCTGGTGTGGCGCTGTGGGTTAATGCACCAGACTGCAAAGCCATTTGAACTGAAAAGTTAGCGGTTCAAGCTCACCAGCTGCTCCTTGGAAACCCTATACAGTGTCGCTATGGGTCGGAATCGAAAGGCACTTAACAATAGCAACAACATGCTAAACAGGCAGCACAATGGCTCTGTTTGATAAGCACTGGACTGTGAGCCACAAGGTCAGCTGTTCAAGCCTATCAGCTGCTCTGTAGGAGAAAGATGAGGCTTTCTGCTCCCACAAAGATGCACAGCCACTGAAACTCTATTCAGGGTCGCTATGAGTTCGAACCAATTCAAAGGCACTTAATAGCACCAGCATCAGGCGCACTAAACAGTGTGTGAGGGAGGGAGGCACTCTTTCCTCGTCGAATCTAATTCCACCCTCTTACAGTCTTGGAAACCCTATATGGGGCTGCTATAGGTCAGAGTCCTGGTGTGGTGCGGCAGGATAAGGCTCTGGACCACAAGGTCAGTTTGAACCGCAAGGTAGGCAGTTTAAACTTACCAGCTGCTCTTCAGAAACAGGGGCGTTATGAGTTGGAACCCACTTGACGACACTAACAACGACATGAGTCAGGCAGTGGCTTTGGGATTGATTTTGGTTTTGGTTCAGCCCAGTGAGGGGTAGGGATGGCTCAGTGGTAAAAGTTTTACCTTCCATACAGGAGACACAGGTTCAGTTCCTGACCAGTGCACATCAAGCATAGCCACCATTGCCCTGCATTTGTGAGTTGCTGCGATGAACAGGTTCCAGTCAAGTTTCAGACTAAGGCTGGGGTCAGGGTTGATCTGACCTAAACTGAATGGTTCTACCTGCAGACAGGACCTCCTGAGTTACTTCTAAGGACTAATAAGGGGGAATGGTTGGTGAGATAGGGAACCTCAGACACTACACCTCATGACTTCTCACCCTTGATTCCATAGGACAGACGTTGGAGGAGACCACAGCCATTCCTCGATTAAAACCAAACATTACGGACAGTTACACCCTGACCCAAGTTCCGGGTAAGGAAAAAGGGACAGGTTTTGGAAGATAATGATAGGACATATTTATTTATACTTTTTATTGTGAATTGAGTGAAGGTTTACAGACAAGATCATCAGCTTTACATTAAACAAATTATACACTTTGTTTCATCTCAATGAGCACAATCCCCTCCCTGTAACAACAGTTATCCTACTTCCTCCCTGGGGCTCCCCATTTATATTTTATATTCCACAAATGAACAAAGCAAAAATATTGATATATACATACAAAACAAAAATACATATATTCATTTAAATGTCCAAAGGGCACATTTTGTTAGCCACCCTCCTGCCCACAGCCTTACTGAGTTCATGGGCCAAGAGCCTGCAGCTGTTCTGTCTCTCCATGCCATCTCTGCTGTTACTGCCTTTCTAAGTAGGGATCTCACACTCCACTCATGCTCTTCCTTCTTGATGGTCCTGGGATCATCTGTTCCTGAATGAAAGATTAACGACTCCCTCCTTTTAGTTACACATCTTCTA